CCCCATGTCAGGCTCTGTGCTGACAGCTCAGAGCCTGAAGCCTGCTTTGGATTCTTTGTCTCCCTCTCTTTTTGCCCCTCCCCTATTCACTCTCTTTCTCTCCCTCTCTCTCAAAAATACATAAACATAAAAAAAGAAATAAATAGTGTGTTTGTCTATGTGTGTATTATTGTCCCTTTTCTCAGACAGAATTGAAGTACTTGCATAGAATTTGCTTCTTTCACGCTGTGATTTTAAATGTTCTCAAGTAGAAACAGGACTCATTTCATCTAGAGTAAAGCTTGCCAAACAACTGAGGCAGTAGACTTCTGATTCTATGTACTCTGTCCAAAATCTCATAAATTATGAATGTTTTTATTCTGACTGGTGTGATCATGAATCATTCCCAGTTCTGTGTGATTTTTCAAGGATTTTTTTTTCTGCTCTCTGATTCAGGTTCTTTTTTCCCCCTAGTCTTTAGGAATTGACTTAACTTTTCACGGAGAGTTAAATTATGTTACTTTATTTCATAGGTAGAAACCTTGCTTTAAGATACATAAAAATCTGCAAGATAATATTATTCATTTTCCCTTGAATAGTTAATAATTGTTATAGCACTCTTAACAAAACTAAGCCACCTAAAATCTCTTGTATTTACCCATATATTTATCATTTCCAATACTTTAATTATCTGAGGATTTAAGTTTTCATCTAGAATCATTTAGTTTCAACCTCAATCTCTTTCTCCAGCGATTTTTGTAGTTCATGTCCACTTGCAATGAATTCTTTAGTTTTTTATGTAAAAATATCTTTATTAATCTAATTTTGGTGTTATTTTTGCTAGATTTATAGTTTGGGGATGATAATCTTTTTCCTTCTGTACTTAAAATGTATTTCACACTCTTCCCTCCTTGTTATTTATGAAAATTCAACCAATAATGGAATTGTTTGTTTTTGTGTAATCTGTCATTTATTTTTTGCTGCTTTCATGTTCTTAAGTGTTGATTTTCAAGCCTTGGTTAATTTGTGTAGGAATTTATTTCTTCATTAATTTATTTCTTCATTCTTCCTGGTTATAGCATAATACTTAAAAGTTTAAATGGAATAGTTCTTTTGATGTTCTAGCAAATTATGCTTTCACTAAAATCTAGGTATGAAAATTAATTGCTACTAATAATTTGTTACTAATCAAAAACTGGCATTGCTTTCACCTGAAAGTTTTCTTAAATTCCCCTCAGATACTGAGACACTTCATAGTGGTTGACAGTTGGATTTACTTCTTCTGATAGTGTTCAATAATTTCACTGCTTGATCTTACAATGCTATGATTTCTGTGTGTTATTTGTTATTTAGGCTTATTCTCTTGCAAAAAAATAAGACTCATGAGAATTTCAGTAGAACAGTCTTTATGTACCCTTTATTCAGATTTCCCCAAAGAAAACTTGTTCAATAACCATAGTACATTACCCAAATCATGAGACTGTTTCACTCGTTTTCTAAAATTATTATAGGTTTACCATTTACACTTAGAAATAAGACCTATTTTTATTAATAATATGTGCTGAGTGAGATATAAGTTATTAAGTTTTTAGGAATTTTTTTGACTAAGGGTTTCCAAATGTTCTAACATAATTTATTGAAGAGATACTCTCTTGCTTGAAATTTTGCACCATTCTCAAAATTCACTTGAGCATACTTATCTGGGTCTATCTCTGGACTTTATTTGTTTCATCAATCTATTTGTCTGTCTTCTTTCAATATTGCATTGTTTTGATTACTCTAAATATGTGGTAAGGCTTAAAATTTCAGAAATTGATTCTTACTTTTTAAAATTATTTTCACTATTCTAATTTCAGTGCCTTTCCACTGAAATTTCAAAACCGTTTTTAAAAACATAGTGCTGTTTTGTTAGGTAATGCATTAAACCTATAGTTCAATTTGGGGAGAATTGAAATCTTCACTTTGTTTTATTTTTTAAAGCCATGAATATGCGGTGTTTCTCACTTTCTTTAGGATTTCTTTGATTTGTTTCTTCAAAATATTCTAAGTTTTAGCATATAGTTCCGTACATGTTTTGTTTCATTTTTACCATTTGTTGGGCTGGTTTATATCCTCCCCAAATTGATAGGTTGAAATCCCACCCCCAGTACCTCATAATGTGACTGTATTTGAAGAGAAGGCCTTTAAAGGAGTAATTAATGAAAATCAGGTCAATATGATTGGTGCTCTTATAGGAAGAGATTGAGGCAAGATATGCACTGAGAACAGACCATATGAAGACATAAGGAGAAAGGACTTAGAAACCAGCCCTGCCAGCATCTTGATCTGGGATGTTCAGCCTTTAAAATTATGAGAAAAAAATATTGATGTTTAAACCACCTAGTAGTGGTACTTCGTTATGGAATCCCCAGCAAACTGATACATATACATAAATGTTTTAACTTTTTAAAGAAAAAATTGTAAATAGAATTGTGTTTTCAATTTCAGTTTTCAATTGTTCTAGTGTATTTCTAATATATAGAAATACACTTGATTTATTTGTTGAACTTATATCCTGCCTCCTTTCTACTTATATTTCAGTTCTATGGGTTTTTTATTTTTATTTTTATTTTTTTAATTTTTTTTTCAACGTTTATTTATTTTTGGGACAGAGAGAGACAGAGCATGAACGGGCGAGGGGCAGAGAGAGAGGGAGACACAGAATCGGAAACAGGCTTCAGGCTCTGAGCCATCAGCCCAGAGCCCGACGCGGGGCTCGAACTCACGAACCGTGAGATCGTGACCTGGTTGAAGTCGGACGCTTAACCGACTGCGCCACCCAGGCGCCCCTAGGGTTTTTTATTTTTAATAAAATAAATAATAAACTTCCCTTCTGGCAACTATGAGTTTGTTCTCTATATTTAGGACTTCTATTTGTCTCTTTTTTTTTCTTTGCTTATTCATTTGTTTTGTTGTGTTTTATTTTAATCCCATATATGGGAGAAATCATATGATATTTGTCTCTGCCTGACTCACTTTATATAGCATTATAGCCTTTAGGTCCACCCATGTTGTTGCAAATGGCAAGATTCATTCTTTTATATGCTGACTAATATCCCATTGTACATACACATATCACATACTCCTTATCTGTTCATCTATCAGTGAACACGTGGGTTGCTCCAGTAGTTACACCACTTGTTAATTTTTGCTTTTGTTGCCAGTGCTTTTGGTGTGAAACCCAAAACTTGTTGCGAAGACCAATTTGAAGGAGATTTTTGCTTATGTTTTCTTCTAAACCTTTTACAGTTTTAGGTCTTATGTGTAAATCTTTAATCCATGTCATGTTAATTTCTGTGAATGGTGTAAGATAAGGGTACAATTTCCTTCTTTTGTACATCATAGCTCCTTTTAATCAACAAGCTCTACAGTGATGTCCTCTTTTTTTATTTCTGTTAAGAATTTTTTGTATAATTGTCTTCTCTTCCTGCACAATATAGCTACTGGGTTATTTTATTTTACCGTATGACTTTATTTTTTATAATTTTTTTAATGTCTATTTATTTTTGAAAGAGAGCAAGAGACAGAGAGCAAGTGGGGGAGGGTCAGAGAGAGACACACACACAAAATCCAAAGCAGGCTCCAGGCTCCAAGCTGTCAGCACAGAGCCCAACACGGGGCTCGAAATCACAAACCCTGAGATCATGACCTGAGGTAAAGCTGGATGCTTAACTGACTGAGATACCCAGGAGCCCCTTGTTGTGTGACTTTATAGAGGGGATTCATTCTCAACTGTGGAATTATGGAAGTACAAGAGCATGTTTTCTTTTTCTGAGCTGGCATTAAAAGGCCAGCTTATGGTTGTTAACAACCTGTCTTAAAATCTGATGATCAGCTTGATATCACCTTTCATGTTTTGCTGTGGCTTTATCTGTCTTTCAAATTCTGTTACTGGAATTTTTTCCTTTCTTTTATACTTCAGTCTTATAGTGTAAAAAGAAAAGGTACCTATTAACTATTAGCTATTAACTGATTTTTCCATGTTTTCATTCACACACTTGCACATACATATGTACAATCTTTTTTTTTTCTTTTAGGCATGAATTACTTAAATCTTATTCACCATAAATTTCAACTGATGTAGAAAAATAAGAAAAACTTTAAGAATTTTGCTTGTGATGACTAAAGGGATGAGAAAAGTTTCACAATTTACTTATCAAAAGTTAAGTCATGTGAAATACGACTCTGTACTGCCAGCAACCTTTTTAAAATAACTTCTCATTCCAAATGTCCTTACCATAGCTTTGCCTATATCTCTAATTTCTGTTATTATTTTTAAAATTCATCCATTATACTACAACCTTTTAATGAGCTTCCATACAAATACCTTACTCCTATGTATATTGCTGGGTCATTTCCCAAGTGTTACACCTCAGACTAAACATTAATTCATAAATTTTAAGTGGTTCTACTCCTCCTCAGAATTTTCTTTTGGAGTACTTCATTTTCTTCATAATACTTTCTGTGATCGATTTGTATTGATGAAGTTTGTTTTAAGTTTCTTGTTTATTTTCTTTCTTCCTTTCTGTAATGGAAGCTCCTCATGTGAACAATGTCCATTTCTGTCATGCATGCCACTACATTTTCATCTTCTGTTAATGTGCCTGACACATGTGTACACTGAGTTAATATTTACTAATTGGATGAACTGATTTAATGGAAAAGTTACACAAATGTGTTTTATGTTGATTGCATCAAAAATACTAAGTGTGCTTATGGCTATAGAATTTGAGCGTGTCAAATTGTAAACCAGAGAATATTGGTAGTTTGATCATTCCCTACATTCTTGCATTGTTCTTAATAAAATGACCAGTATGGATAGTCCTGTCAATGACTTATCAAAATAATGTTGTAAAATATACTTAACATAAAGAGTATTAAAATATAAAATTTTATGGGAACAAAATGCTTTAATTTAATTTATTACTTGCTTTTGTTAACTTCTTATATGATGGTTTTCCCTTCAATCTTCTTTATTTTAGTATCCAGATGCAGTAACTTTGGAAGGATTTTCAGTTATTATAGCTCAACTACTTGGCCTTAAAATGGGATTAACATATGATGATATTAATAAATGTTCTTGTCCAAGAGCTACATGCATAATGAATCATAAAGCAGTGTAAGGCTTTTTTTTCTTCTTAATTATTTTACATATATATATGTTAGGTTGTTTACAAGATGTGATGAATTTTTTATTCTTTATATTCCACTCCACGTCAAAAATTGGAAAGGTATCGAAGAATTTTCCTACTAATAAATCTGTCTAAGTGATACAAAACTCCAGGAAAGTGGTAAATATCATGATTAAGAAATACCTGAGGGAATTAGAGGGAAATTTTTAAGATTTATAAAGACTTTGAAATACTATATAAACACGGTACTATTATTGTTTTGGCTGTTACAGCATTTGGCATTCAAAGCAAAGATATGTAAAATTATCCTCAGTAATATAGTCCAGGGAGCTTTGGCCAGAATTTTAAGGGAAAGAAAAAAGAGGAAACATTTGAAAAAGAAAAAAAAAAAAAACTGTCCTTATTTATAGATATTACGATTGACTACCTACATAAATCAGCAGAGTCATAATACAATTAGAACAATAATAGCATTAAAAATTTTATTAAGATAAGAGGAACTACATTATCTATAGACAAAGAAATAAAGAGAAAAGAAGGAAAGGGTGATGATGCTGGATAAAATGAAGACTTAACAAAATCACTGAGTACATTAGGATACAATCTAGTGCGTAAGTACAGGGGCTGGCTTTTATTTATTTATTTTTATTTTTTTAATGTTTAGTTATTTATTTTGAGAGAGAGAGAAAGCAGAGGAGGGGCAGAGAGAGGGAAAGAAAATCCCAAGCAGGCACTGTCAGTGCAGAGCTTGACATGGGGCTCTTGAAACCACAAATCGTGAAATCATGCTCTGAGCCGAAACCAAGACTCTGAGGCTTTACCGACTGAGCTGCACAGGCACTCATAGGTTGGCTTTTTTTTGGAGATGTGTATACTCAATTATTGTGATAAGATGTTAGCGGAGTAAATAAAGATGTAGGTAGTTTGGTTAATGGAGGTGGAAAGATGAGGACAATTTCTTCTGATAGGAAGCTGAGAATAAGGAGCATAAGAGCTTGGATAAAAGACATGAAACACCTGTCTTGGAGACTAGAAATTAGAAATGACTTCAGAATGTGATAAGATTGTTGGGCCTTTTGAATGGATACTTAATATTAGTAATTACAAAAGTAATATGAATTCAAACAGCATGTTTGTTTATTTTGGCCCATGTAATTTCAGCTATCAAACGCATAAGTAAAGAAAGTAAATAGTTGAGGTTTTGCCAAGTTAATAATGTCCATGGGATTCAAAAAGAATTAGGGTTGCAGGAAAAGCTGTGTTTCTCTGAAATAACGTTTTCAGTGTTTCCAAGCCCACACTTGGAGTTTGGGATAAAAAATGAAAATACTTTGAAACAGCTGCTTTAACTCAACTTATTTTGTAGTTGTCTTTAGACCTCGGTGGTAACTTTCCCCACAAAAAAACCAATCGATTAAGACTTACTTTGAAATGTCTGGGTCTATTAAAATTCTATATACTTAGGCTAATACATTCATTTCTTCCTTTTCATGGCCATCTTTTAGGCAGAGATTTAACAAATTGCTTTGTACACGTTTTAAATGAAAGTTTCAAGTTCTTTTTTTTTTTTTTTTTTTGTAATGTTTATTTAATTTTGAAGGAGAGAGAGACAGCATGAGTGGGGGAAGAGCAGAGAGACAGGGAGACACAGAATCCAAAACAAGCTTCAGGCTCTGAGCTGGCAGCACAGAGCCCAACGCGGGGCTCAAACTCACAAATTGTGAGATCATGACCTGAGCTGAGGTCAAACGTTTAACTGACTGAGCCACCCAGGTGCCCCTGAAAGCTTCAAGTTCTAACTAACACTTAATTTTTACTCAGAAAGCATGTGGTCCAAGTAGAAAAGAACCTAGGTCTCTGTCTATTTTTAAGCTAATTTTGTGTACAAAGATATCAGTGCTCAAAATTTGTAGCTTTCTGCCTAAGAGTAGCCTGCAAAACTGTAGTGGCACTGATGTCTATTGAAACAAAATAGTTAAAAGTAATAGACAAAATTGCTTAAATATTTTTCCTTGTGACAGTCTTCACACTTTCCCCTATTGATTCCATTACAAATGAGTATATCAATGAAAGCTAAAGCATGCCTTTTTTTTTCTCACTCTCCCAACTCCAAACCCTTGGCAGTTATACATTTCTTTCCTTGGAGGCTCTGGAGTCAACCCAGAACATCACTCATCACAGATATAGCTGTTTAAGAGTTACTGTTTCAGACATGATTGCTTAGAGGGGAACTGTGAAATAGAATTAAATGTAAACCACATATGTAATTGTAAATTTTCTAGTGGCTGCATTAAAACATTTAAAAAATCATAGGGCGCCTGGGTAGCTCCATTGGTTGAGTGTCCAACTTTGGCCTAGGTCATGTTCTCATGGCTTGTGGGTTTGGGCCCCATGTTGGGTTCTGTGCTGGCAGCTCAGAGCCTGGAACCTGCTTCAGATTCTCTGTCTCCCTTTATCTCTGCACCTCACCGACTTGCACTCTGTCTCTCTGTCTCAAAAATAAGCAAACATTAAAACCTTTTTTAATCAGATGAAGTTAATTGCAGCAATATGTTTTAATGTATTTTATTAACATATAATAAATATTTAATATATAATATATTTAATATATTTTAATATATTTTATTTAATTCAATGTATTCAAAATGTTACCATTCCAACATGCAGTCTCATGCAGGATTACACCAATGTTATCATCTTGAGAAACTAGAAGATTAAAGTTGCCTGGAACTGAGAATAGTGGATGGGACAGGCTTGGCTGAGAAGACCAGTAGACAATATTTTACACAGTATATTTAAAATATATATTGGAGATCTATTAGACATATATATTAGATATCCCACTAAAAATATAGCTGTGAACATGAAAATAAAGACCTTCACAGAACTTATATTTTAGTGCAAAATTTAAGTCATATAAAAACAGATTTAAAAAATACAAATATGCTTATTTTTACATGATACGATAATATAGAGTAATATATGTAGAAAAATAAATAATGACAGTGGAAGGAGAATGTGGGAAGGGACACAATTTTATATAACATCAAGAAAGACCGCTTTAGAAAGTTACATGTGAGTAGACATCTGACTGAAATGAGAGAAGAAAACTTTGGATATATGACTGAAGAGCGTATCAGGTAGAAAGATAGATGGTAGATAATAGATGATATATAGATAGATGATAGATAGGTGGATATTTAACCATTAAACTTTACTGCTTTCCTGTAAAGATACATTTTCAATGCCATTTTAAAAATATTAAAGATTAATAGTGATAAATTAAAATGTAATCATGTTTGACTTCATCTCTGCTAAGGCACAACTTTTTATTTAAGCTATCTTGCAATTCATATCACTATATATGGAACATCATTTAGATGTTTTATTTATCTTTTTTTATCTTTTATTTACCTGGTTTATTTATCTTTTATTAACCTGGTTTATTTACCTGAGGATTATTATTTCATTGTAGGGGTTCCAGTGGTATAAAGATTTTTAGCAACTGCAGCATGCATGACTATAGAAATTTTGTTTCAAAGTATGAGGCTAAATGTCTTCAGAACTTTTCAAATTTGCAACCATCATACCAAAATCAATCAGTATGTGGTAATGGGATTTTGGAACCTAATGAAGAATGTGACTGTGGAAGCGAAGAGGTAAGCAGTAAAGATTGGAATTTGAGCACAATTTCTTGTATTTCTAATAAGTGGTTTTCATGGTATTGGAATTATATATGCAACTATGTCTTCAATATGGAACTTGGATATGAAAGTGAGTAGTGGTTAGGATATATATGAATTGCTTTTCCATCCCTCTTCAATTGAGAAGACAAATGCTTCATGAAAACTTGGTTTGTACACACTGTTCCCAAGTATGCCAGTGAAGAGGTTTTGCATACATAGGCTGAACAAATGGCTTTTTATCCACAATTTATTTCCTAATGTATGTGGCCCCAGTCTCTGTTTTTTCTACCAACTTCTTTTGAGTTTGTTTCAAATTTTCCCCTTTCTTTTGGTTGCAAGAATGGTAAAACATTATAATGTTTTTTTTCTTAATCCTCAAGCATTCTTGCATTTCCAATTTCAGGATGATCAAAAACTTGTCCTGTTTGCTCACTTCTAAATATATATATATATCCAGCCTACCACAGTCTCGTCAACCAAATATTCTATACATATTAATTATAATAACATTATTATAATAGCATTATTGCATAATATGTCATAATTCCCCTCTATTTGAATAAAATAAAATTTCATTATTAGTCCCCCAGAAGTTACATGAATTTCTTATCCATCTACAAAAAGTACCCCACCATTTGTTTACATAATATTAAATCTCTACAAGTTATCTTAATTCTCCACTATTCTCCAGCATTAATATATATGTATGTGTGTGTGTATATATATATATATATATATGTGTGTGTGTGTGTGTGTGTGTGTGTCTATGTAGGCTTTCCAGTTATCTCAGATTTTCTTTTTTTTTTTTTCATTTTATTTATTTTAGAGAGAGAGAGAAAGAAAGAGAGAGAACAGGGGAGGGGCAGAGAGAGGGAGAGAGAATCCCAAGCAGGCTCCACACTCAACATGGAGCCTGATGTGGGGTTCAAACTCATGAACCATTAGAGCGTGACCTGAGCTGATATCAAGAGTCAGATGCTCAGCTGACTGAGCCACCCAGGCACCCCTCCAGTTATCTCAGATTTTCTAAAGTCATCTTAGTTTTCTAATTAGTGATACTATGCTCATCTTGTATTCACATCCTCCTAGATACGGTGCCAATTGCCACAAAAAAAAAAAAAACCTGGTTATTTTTAATGAAGGATAGAATAAAGCAACAGAATCTGGAGCTAGGTCTGCACATTGTGAATTTCCACAGCTACCAGCTGTGACATATTGTCACTTACAACAGACACTGTCAGTGGCCTACCAGTATCTTCTCAGCATTGACTATTCCTGGAGAGAGTATTTTTTTTCAAGTATCTAAGACTTTTTGTTGGAGTACCTCCTCTGGTCTCAGTAGCATGCTCAGCTTTTAGCAGGGTGGACTTAGTGCACTTGGGGCTAACGATTAACCCTCAAATAATTATGAAGGGTATTTGGTGGATAATTGCCCCAGATTCCTTGACTCTTACAAGGAAATTCTATGAAATATGCTCAGTATCAGAGTTCTGCAAACTGGCCAGTGGACAAAATTTCGCTGCTACATATTTTTGTGAATGGAACTTTATCGGAATGACAACCATGCCCATACATTTACATATTATCTATGGCTGCTTTTGTGCTACAATGGCAGAGTTGAACACTTGCAATAGAAGCCATAAGGTGCACTATTTTAGCAAAGTTGCAAATAGTTGATATTTCACTCTTTACATAAAATGTTTTGATGCCCCCTATTTTATATCATTTCCTAGAAGTACCTGTGGGATTTAGCTTAAGAGAGCAGTAAGCAACTCACAAACCTACATGTACTGGCTTGTTTCCCTTCCTTAACATCTTGCTCCCATCTTGCTCTTAGTGTTTTGGTGGTAGGTAGAATAGACATTCAAAGATGTCCTCACTCTAATCCTTTGAATTGTGGTAGGTTATATTACTGAGGTACTTTGCAGAAGTTATTAAGGTTATGGACTTTAATATGGGGACATTATCCTGGAATATCTCAGTAGGTCCAATCTAATCAAATGAATCCTTAAAAACAGAGGGCTTTCTCTAAGTGAAGTCACAGAAATAGCAGAAGACTCAAAAATATTTGGAAAGAGGGACCCAACCTGCTGTTGCTGAAGGAAGGAACATGGAAACACAGAAGGAATGTAATTAGTTTCTAGGAGAAGAAAACATGCCCTTGACTGATAGCCAGTAAGGAAACAGGAATCCCTGTACTATAACCACAAGGAACTTAATTGGGCAGACAATCTGGATGAGACTTGAAGTGAATTCCTTCCCAAAGCCTCCAATAAGGACATAGCCCTATTCACATCTTGATTTTACCTTTGTGATACCATAAGCAGAGGATCTGGACTAGTTTATGTACTTAAACTTTTGATTTATAGACTATAAGACAATTATTTAAGTTGCTAGGTTTTTGGTAATTTGTGACAGCCTCATTACGGAGCTAGTACACTCTCCAAATAAAGTACTTGTCTGCGTCCTTGCTTAGTGGTCTGTTTCTTGGGGAACTAAAACCAAGTCAGCTGGTACCAGAAGTTTTCCTAGGAAGCATACACTCAGGGTAAGATTATGAAAGTGGATGTATTGCTGGCCAGATAACAAAATGTACTCATTTATAGGTTCAGGACATTTGAAATGATGGACTTTAGAAACCTAAACCTTCAAATTTCTCAGAAATCTCTGTTCTGGGAAGTCACTGCTAGCTCAATGGTGGAAGAAGGTAGCTTCACATTGCCTAGAGACCACACAAAGATGTGTTCACAAGCAATGGATGTCTCACAAGATGATGCTTGTTCTTTTCAAGATCTGTCCCTGCCTTCCCTCATTGGTTCTAGACTGCATCAAATCTAAGTATAGCCCGAGTGAGAAAGTACTTTCTGCTCTTAGGATAAAGAGATTATTTTTTAAGAATCTGTAGAATTTGTTAATATGTATGTACAAAAACCTGGATAATATGCCATGAATAGATGCTAAAAATGCTGGCTCACAGCGTTAAGTATAGGCCTGGAGAGGGTAGGGTTTACTGATAGGATGATAATCTCTACCGAATAAAGATCTATTAGGCAAGGAGATTTGGAGCCAGTCTTGATTTGCTGCTGGATGAATCTTTGAACATTGCAGTCTGGCCCACAATAAATGAGGTTCATATGCCAGAACTGTTTTATTATTTTTTTATTGCCAGAACTACCTTAATATAGAAATATGGAAGGGTCTCAAAAACTCAGAATAGTGGTCCTAACATAACAAAATGTAAGAATAAAAAAATCTAGCATCCAATTATTTGGGTGGCTCACCAGATACTGCTTTCAGTAAAACAATGAAAAAATGTGCTGCTAAGAAGGTCCAAGTATTGTTGAATGGTAGCTTTCTTGTATAGATAGGGATTGACTATTGGAAGCACCATGACAGAGTTGGGCACCCTGTGTCACTAGGGATCATTGAATACCAAAATCGCAGAGGCCAAGTGGCAGTACTTAGCAATAACAGCCAAATGGATGTAGTTAGCATAAAGGGAAGAAAAGCATAGATGGAAACTATGGTTTTGAGCTGCATGGATTTATACTAATAGTTAAGAAAGATCTGGGTCACCAGTTACCATATTTCTTTATTTATATAACTAAAAATTAAGAAAAAGCAGAGGACTTATGCCAATTGCTACAAATGGAAATTTATAGTCTCTTGCTACATTTCCAGACCCAAGCTAGTATCAGAGTTTGAGCTCACTCTTCAGATAGACGATGAAATCCTGCAGTCTCCAGTAATGATAGAAAATAGCACTTTCCTCAGTCATTCCCCTCTCCAATAGAGTAACCTATAGCCTTTTACTGGATTAACTATACACTGGGGAATGGGAAATACCCAGATCATATAGGATGATTGCATACAGAATCTTTGCTCATGGTACTCACATGAGAGGACCCAAAACACCATAAGGAGTAGGGTGAGTGTATAGAGAATCCAGGTAATACCTGGAGCCCTTGAAAAAGACCACCTCACAGTAGGTTCAATGGATCCAAGGTTAGCACAGATTCTGCATTCAGTCATCCATTAACTAAATATAAGTTGTTTAGATAGATAGATAGATAGAGAGACAGATGATAGATATAGATATAGATATAGGTATAGATATGCCCCTATTAACAGTAATAAAAATTCAACAATAACAGTAACTAAAGATGAGACATCATATAGATCTTATATAATATGACATTAAAATGGTAAGGTGATATGAACATTATACTAGTAAATTTAACCACCTAAATTGAATAGACAAATTCCTTGAAAAAAGCACTTACAAAAACCAACATGAGTAGAAATTTAAAATGTGAATAGCATTATTAAGAAAAATATATTAAAGAAATCCTATCTATACTTTCAAAACTCCTCATCAAAGAAAAGTCCACACCACATGGCTCTGCTGGTGATTTTTTTAATTAATGAAAGCACAGCATAGACAATGCAGTCAGTGATACTGTAACAGCATTGTATAGTGACAAACGGTAGCCACATTTATGGTGAGCATAGCATAATGTATAGAAAAGTTGAATCACTATCTTGTACATCTGGAAACTAATGTAATGTTGTGTGCCAACTATATTCAAATTAAAAAAAAGAAATTATGCTAATTTGATATATTTTCTAAATTATAGAAAAAAGTGATATACTCATTTTTTTCATCTAGAAATAAAAACTAAATGAGTTTATGCATCCATATTAATAATTTGGGACAATTACCATCCACAACAAATTCAACATACAAATGTGCACACATAAACATACATACACAGTAATTAAAATGAAGTGTTATTACCCAAAAAATTACAGAAAGTTAAAATGAATATAGTCCATATCTTGACCATTGCTTGATCACAAGACTAGTATCTGATACATACAAAGTACTCAATAAATGCTTATTGATTCAATGACTGCATGGATAGTGTAATTATCCTTATAATAATATATCAATTTTATCAATGTATAAGGATAAGTATATTTAGAATATTGATTAGGAATAATGTTACTTGGAGAGTTTATTTGAAAGTTTTTCCTAAAGGGATCTATAGAAGAATACAAGTAGCTTTTTAGAAAAAGAGTTGGTTTGAGGGAAATCTTGCCTTAACAATCATCAAACATACTATGACGCTATTTAATTTCATTCAATGTGGTATTGGCCATTGGAATAAGAAGTGAAAATTGACATTTATATATATGTATCTATTTATATATCAACATATATATATATATAATCAATTAATTTAACTATCTAAACATGTACAAGTTATATAGATATATAACATTTATTCTCAGGATGGAAATGGTTAATGTCATAAGGGTTTATCTATAAATCCAGTGCAGTGCCTATAAGGAAGGGAAAAGCAACCCCTGACATGCAGGATCTGGCCTAATAATATCAGCTGAGCCTCGGTGTTGCTAGGAGCTGGCTTGACACGGATAGGCTGTGTGGGTCTCCTGTTGAACATAAACAATTTCATAAAAGTGCAATGTCTGTGATCATGATGGATGAAGAAAAATAGCAAGGACACTCTCTATGTCTGAATACAAGTAAAACTTGAAAAGTTTTCAAGTCACAGAAATGACCAAACACCCTCCCATCCTGGGTAATATGAGTAATTACTATTCCTTTACCAATTTTGACTTAGTATTGTTGTAGTTTCCTCTTCTAGATAAGAATTCTTAGAATACTCAGAGATGTACCCCTTTGTTTCTAACAGCATCTAATGTGGCAAAGCCCAGATTTGTTAAATCCCCTCAAATTACACAAGCTTGAATCCTGTAATTACATCCTCTCACTGAGGACTACAATAGTTTCGCATGGTGTATGTCCTCTTTTGCTGACAATAGTAATGAATCCAACTTGTTCAACTACAGATAGGTTCCAGGAGGTCTTTGGTGGAATGGCATGGACATTTATATCTTCATAAATATCCCTCATTTTTCACAAATGGAAGCTCTGTTTTATGAACCTACTCACATACATGCAGATGTGTGCATTCGTTCTTGTATTCACAAATATAATGACAATTAATAAATATTAGAATGAATATTCCACAAAATATAGAGAGATAAGTTTCAGAAAAAAATAAATATGTATGTTTTAAATAGCATTAAAATATAAAGTATTGATAAGTCTTTACATAATGGAGGTCATGGTAAGGAGACATAAAACCCAATAGTCATCAAGAAGAACATTACAAATTTCACAAAATGACAAGCACCATTAATAAGATAAACAATAGGCTGCAAGCAAATATTATAAACATATAGAAGGTTGCTGAGGCTAGGACTTCTGGTACTATTTTGAACAAAGGTGGTGAGAGTGGACATCCCTGTCATGTTTCTGATCTTAGGGAGAAAGCCCATTGCAAAGGCATCCAAAATGGTAAGGAAGAAGTTGGACTTTCACTCTTTGAAGATGACATAATACTCTACATAGAAAATCAAAAGACTTCACCAAAAAACAGCTAGAGCGGATACACGAATTCAGGAAAGTCTCAGGATATCAAGTCAATGTACAGAAATTGGTTGCATTTCCATACACCAATAATGAAGCAGATAAAGATATCTATAAAGATATAAAAGAGTAAGAGATATCAAGGAATCGATCCCATTTACAATTGCACCAAAAAAAAAAAAAAAAAAAAAAAAAACCTAGGAATAAACCTAACCAAAGAAGTAAAAGATCTGTACACTGAAAACTGTAGAAAGTTTATGAAAGAAACTGAAAGAGGCACAAAGAAATGGAAAAACATTCTATGCTCGTGGATTGGAAGAACAAATATTGTTAAAATGTCGATACTACCCAAAGCAATCTACACCGATGCAATCCCTATCAAAACTTTTCACAGAACTAGAACAAACAACCCTAAAATTTGTGTGGAAACACAAAAAACCCTGAATAGCCAAAGTAATGTTGAAAAAGAAAAAGCTAGAGGCATCACAAGCTGTATTACAAAGCTGTAATCAAGACAGTGTGATACTGGCACAAAACAGACACATAAATCAATAGAATAAAGAACCCAGAAATGGATCCACAAACATATGGCCAAATAATCTTTGACAAAGCATGAAGAATATCCAATGGAAAAAAAGACCATCTCTTTAGCAAATGGTGCTGGGAGAAATGGACCACGTCATGCGGAAGAATGACCTTGGACCACTTTCTTACACCATACACAAAACATAAATTCAAAATGGATGAAATACCTAAATTGGAGGCAGAAAACCATCAAAATCCTAGAGGAAAACACAGGCAGCAACCTCTTTGACCTAGGCCGCAGGAACTTACTTGACACGTCTCTGGAGGCAAAGGAAATAAAAGCGAAAATGAATTATTGAGACCTCATCAAGATAAAAAGCTTCTATACAGCAAAGGAAACAATCAACAAAACTAAAAGGCAACCAACGGAATGGGAGAGTATATTTGCAATTGCAATATTAGATAAAGGGTTAGTATTCAAAATCTATAAAGAACTTACCAAACTCAACACCCAAAAAACAAATTATCCAGTGAAGAAATGGACAGAAGACACGAATAGACACTTTTCCAAAGAAGACATCCAGATGGCCAACAGACACATGAAAAGATACTTGGCATTCATCATCGGGGAAATACAAATCAAAACCACTCTGAGATATGACCTCATACCTATCAGAATGGCTAAAATTAACAACTCAGGAAACATTAGATGCTGACAAGGATGCAGTGAAAGGGAACCCTTTTGTACTGTTGGTGGGAATGCAAACTGGTGCAGCCACCCTGGAAAAAAGCATGGAGATTCCTCAAAAAGTTAAAAATAGAACTACACAACTCAGCAATTGCACTACTAAGTATTTTCCAAAGGATACAGAAGTGCTGTTTTGAAGGGGAACATGCACACCAAAGTTTAGAGCAGTACTATCAACAATAGCCAAAGTATGGAAACAGCCCAAATGTCCATTAACTGATGAATGGATAAAGAAGATGTGATGTATATTTATACAATGGAATACTACTTGGTGATGAAAAAGAATTAATTCTTGCCATTTGCAACAACGTGGATGGAACTAGGGTGTATTATGCTAAGCAAAATAAGTCAGTTGGAGAAAGATATAATATGATTTCACTAATATGGAATTTGAGAAAATCAACAGATGAACATAGGGGCAGGGAAGGAAAAAAGATAAAACAGAGAAGGAGGCAAACCATGAGATTCTTAAGTACAGAAAACCAACTGAGGGTTGCTGGAGGACAGATGGGTGGGGGTATGGGTTAAACAGGTGATGCACATTAAGGAGGTCACTTTTCTGGATGAGCACTGGGTGTCATATGTAAGAAATGAAGTACTGGGTTCTACTCCTAAAGCCAAGACTACATTGTATGTTACCTACCTTGAATTTGAATTAAAAAATAAATAAATAAACACATAGAATGGAGAAAGGATAACTGGGTACTATGTAAAATCTGTTCACACTATTTAGTGAGGAAAAGAGGGAAAAACAAACCTGTTATGCATAATGCTCAAAGTGGTCAAAATAAATGATTATTTAATTCATAAGGTTGTACAAAATGAAAATTCACTCACATCCACTAGTAATTAGACAAATGATAACAAAAATATGAGACCCCATTTCCCCATTAGTTCATTATAAGTTAAACTGATTTGGTCATAATTAGTATTGATAAACATGGTTGGGAGAGCATCTTCATTTACTGTCCATGAAAGAACACACACACACACACACACACACACACACACACACATAATGATATTGAACTTACTCCTGGAGAATCTGGGGAGTATAACAACAACTTCACTTTTATTCTATATTTTCTATATTATTTCTAGGGTGGGAATGTTTATAAATGCATGTCTATCACATAGACACGTGAAAAAGCAGAAACAAAAAGAATATTAAAAATAAAGAAGAATCAGGGGTGCCTGGGTGGCTCAGTCAGTTAAGCATCTGACTTCAGCTCAGGTCATGATCTCACAGTTTGAGCCCCATATTAGGCTCTGTGCTGACAACTCAGAACCTGGAGCCTACTTCAGATTCTGTGTCTCCCTCTCTCTCTCTCTCTGACCCTCCCCAGCTCACACTCTGTCTCTCTTTCTCTCAAAAATAAACAAACATTTAAAAAAAAGTAAAGAATAATCATACCTCCATAATAAATGACAATATCTTTAAAACTTGTTTTTTGAGTAAATAGAAAATGTTTGGTTTTTTAGAAAGTGTTAATATAAAAATATTAAAGAATTGCATAAATGCAATTTATTTACATGGAAACGATATTTAGTTTATTATTTATTTATCACCCAATGTGAGTAAGTTTGCTGTCTTTTACTTGTAAAATATATAAATTTATTAACATATCCATTTTATTAACTTCATTGCAGTAAAACAAAACATGACACATGATTACTATACTATACTAACTTTGTTTTTTATCATAACTATTGCTTAACTCTATTTAATTTTATTCACAAAATGAAACCTTAGTAAACCAATCAGTAAAAACAAAATTGGGGAAGGTCTTCTCTTGGAAGCTTACACTTTTTTTCCCTCAAGGATATACTTTCATGTTGGTAATTTATAAATTAATTTCCAATGACTTTAGATAATGTTATTGATCAACTTCTATTTTAGGTGTTACTTAGTTTTTACAGTTATATGTTCTTTTGGACATTCTAGAAATAATAAAATAATAAAATTTCATTGATATAACTACATTGTATAACTGAAAAGTTGAACATATAAGTGTATTAAATAGAAGTTGAGATTAATAAATGAAAGCTGTTAAGTGGTTGAACTACAATAATATTTCTTATGAAATTTTAGGAATGTCTATTTAAGAAGTGCTGTGATTTTCATACATGTAAACTGAAAAGCTCAGCAAAATGTGGTTCTGGACCCTGCTGTACATCAAAATGTGAGGTAATTTTCCAATATTTATAAAAAGGAAATTAAGCTGTGATCATAGATGTGATCATGATTAATAATTAATTAAATTTATGTGGAATTGATAAAGAGAATATAGAAGTGGTTCAGTGGACAAAATGGAGAGCACATCAACAACCATAAGTAAAAAGGAAAACTACTATGAATTAAAGAAGACATCACAGATAGGTACTGATTATTCTGTTGTGTTGAAACCACAGTTTACCATCTTCTAAATCATCACATAAAGAAAGTATATATATACATTACTATATCAAAATATTATCAACTCTCAAGGAAATCGTGAAGTCAAATAAATGGTAAATGTCTGTGGAAATATAAGCCAATTTTGCAGCAGACAAAATGTGTAGTGTATAGGATATACAAAGAACTCTCAGACATGGATAAGTGAAAGACAAATCTCCCCTTCCCCCCGCCCCCCACACAGACTCACAGGCAAAGGGGCTCTGCAGGCAATTTACAATAATGGAGGTAGAGTTGTGCTGCAGTGTGTGTACTTCATCTGCAGTAATTAAGGTAAACACAAATAAAAACAATTAGCACAATATCTAATGTAGTTATTCAAATGGTAATCTTAAAAACAACAATGTCAGATATTAACCAAAGAGAAGAGATAAAGTTATTTTTTGGAGAGTATGGAATTTTGAATTGCTATAATCCCTTTGGTAAGCAATATTTGAGTATCTCTGAACAAAGTATAAATTATCAGTTTCTTATGTATATATCTTAGAAGTATATACATGTATGGAATGCTCAAAAAAGAATATTAATTATAGAATTATTTGCAGTAGTCAACAATTGGTACTAGAATGATCACAAATTATTGTACATTGTACAAGAATTAATAATTGCAGGCTAAATATGCATGCACTAATACATATTATCTTTAAGATATATGTTCAGATGAGAAAGCAAGTTTAATAATGAAAAATATTTTATAATTAAAAAATTCTGATATATTATATACACATAAATATTCCATATATTCTTTTGCCCAATTTTTCAACTCGGGTATAACATACTATATTATAATTTTATTATAGTAAAATTCTTTTAGTGAATACTTCTGAGTATTATAAGAAACATTCAGTCTTATAACTAGCACCACAATCAAAGGATAGGTGATTTCATCAGCACTCTCAAAAAATCACCCTATGCCTCTTTGTACCTCCACCCACAGACCCCAGTAACTACAGATCTGTTTTCTGCATCTGTAATTTTCTTTTTGCAGAAATACAAATTGAATCGTATATGTAAACATTGTAAGTAGGCATGTTATCATAATAGCATTTGAGTTTCATTCATGTTGTGGTGCTTGTCAGTAACCCATTCTTTTTTGGTTTGTTTGTTTTTTTTAAATAGGTATTTATTATTTAAAAATATGCAAACTGGCTTTTTATTAGTCACAAATTATGGAAAATTTTTAAAAGTTTTGTCTCAACCCTCCAAAAAGTGTGCTCTTTCTTTACAGTCTTGAGTGGCAGTACATTTTGATGGTATGGAAACTAACTCACAAACATTCCATATAACTTTGTTAGAATGTACAAAGATATGGCAGAAACCAGAATCCCTACAGTGTTAGACAAATTCAAGTTAAAGTGTTACTGAACTTTTATAAACAGTGAGGTTTACAGAATAAATAGTAAACACCTGTGTGAATTTTTGCAAAGCAAAAATGATTCGTTTTGTATATTTTCACTTTGTTTCAGCCTTTCCAAAAGACTTTTAAATAAAAAGTTGAAAATTTTCCAGTTACCTGAAATTTCAAAAATCTCCTGTACCTTGAAAAAACCCCTGGGTGCCTGGGCCGCTCAGTCGGTTAAGTGGCCAACTTCAGCTCAGGTCATGATTTTGCGGTTCGTGAGTTTGAGCCCCGGATCAGGCTCTGTGCTGACAGCTCGGAGCATGGAGCCTGCTTCAGATTCTGTGTCTCTCTCTCTCTCTGCCCCTCCATCATTCACGCTCTGTCTCTCTTTCATCTCTCAAAAATGAATAAACGTTAAAAAATTTTAAAAAGAAAAAACTCTTGGGACGCCTGGGTGGCTCAGTTGGTAAAAAGCCCGACTCTCGTTTTTGACTCAGGTCCTGATCTCATGGTTTCATGAGTTGGAGCCCTGCATTGGGCTCTGTGCTGACAGTGTGGAACCTGGTTGGTATTTCTCTCTCCCCATCTCTCTCTGCCCCTCCTCCACTCACGTTGTCTCTCTCAAAATAAATAAACTAAAAGAGAGAGAAAAAGCTCTTAAAAGCAGCATCAATCAAACAGTGGCTAACTCACAAGTGTGTATGCAACAACCACAACTAAGCATGTCAGAGTCACCAGCTTACAACTGAAGGCAGAATTAGAGGCACATCTCTGACAGTTAAGAGAAAAGGACATGAGGGGTAAGTATGCAGCCCAAGACATCCAGGTATTTGATTGTGGGATAAAGGGTAAAAACTAAAGGGACTTTTCTTACAGAATCCGAGGTCTTAATTAAAAGCAGCTCCTTTAAACACCTAAATCCTTTTTGTCTCTCCTCATCACTAAAACAGATGGTACAAAGTCTTCATACAAAAGAGAAAATTTCTGAAATTGTATTTTACATCAATGCTAATAACAACCAATTGAAAAGAAAGAACTACAAAGTGCAAATTTATAAACACTGTACTTGACTTTTTCATCAGATAACTCACAGCCTTGGGAATTCTGTGATTCTCCTAAATATAAATAATTAGGTATATTTTATATGACAAATCTCTTCACTAAGAATAGTTATTCATAGAATATGATTTTATTTTTCTTTTTCCTCCTAGATATCATTAGCAGGCACTCCTTGTAGAAAGAGTATTGATCAAGAATGTGATTTTACAGAATATTGCAATGGAACCTCTAGTAATTGTGTTCCTGACACTTATGCGTCGAATGGTCAGCTGTGTAGGTTGGGAACTGCATATTGTTATAATGGACGATGCCAAACTACTGACAACCAGTGTGCCCAGATATTTGGAGAAGGTATTGCTCTTTATTATATATTTCTTTTACCTTAAATTTGAATCCCTCTATATAGGGATATATCAAATAGAAGGTTAGAGAAAGTCTTAATTATCAAGTTGAAGGAACTTCAGAGGAGGTTAAATTCTCAGTGAAGTCTGTTTTTCCATAATTAAGGTTCTGGTTGGAAGAAGAATGAAACCTATGCTTAGGAGGGGAACAGTTGAAAATGTGTTCTCTCTAATTTTAGCCTCCAGACTTCTCTGAAACTACTGAATTTATAAAATGGTACAGCACTGATCATTCACACCACCACCTGCACCAATTAAAAATGACATAAGTATGTTCCCATTATATGAAGATAATGTGGAAACCTGTCACTCATAACACAAACTGTATCCCCATCAGGATCTCTCTCCTACCTGTCCTGGCCACTAACTGTAAGTCAAGTTCAAGTCACAGCAAAATAGAGCCAGGATGTGCTGGAATTTATAAGGGAGTAAAGGAAATATACCCCGATAGAGCTACAGTTCCTAGACAGCAATTACTGCCAGAATCAAGGGAGTGTGCATGGAACTGGATTCTGAGAGTGCTTGATCATAACATTGGATAGGGGAACATAAGATTGGAGAAGAGAGAGTTTATTATTTTGGAAGTACTCTCCTAAGATAATAAGACTTAACACCCTGGCAAGGATCCTAGAAGACAGTAAAAATTTCTATTAGGATTGTTTCCAGAAAGATGGAAACAATGGCCCACTCTAAGTGAGATTTAAATGTTGAAATTACCAAGGGAATAGAATCTTTGACAACTTTCAGTGCACAATGGGTCCACAGGGTCCACAAATCCATTTGGCAATTATTTTTTAGTCCTAGAGGATATCATCAGGTTTGACATATTAATAGTTTGTGCAGTCCCATAATTATGTCCTTGGGCTATTTGATAAGGCCATGGAGAAAGCCTCTGTAACTCTCTCCTACCAGAAATTAATACTACCTTTAAAAATCTAAAGGATGCAGAGGTGGTTAGCAGTATATATATACATATACATGTATATATATATGTATATATATTTAATTATTCAATATGATTCTTGTAGAAACCAGATGGTGTTGGAAGATGATAGCATTCCACTGCAAATACAGACAAGCAGTAAATTAATTGCACCCACTATGCCAGATGTGGTGTCTATGCTAGAGCAGGATAGCATATGTAGTAGGAGTATAGCCACTGATTTGGCAAATACATTCTTTTCTGTTTCTATTTTAAAAAAAGAATTAGCAACCGTCTGCTTTCACATGGAATGGATAATGACATTAATGTTGAGTTTTGCTGCCAATCATAAAGTTGTAGAGATGTGGACATCTTAAAATATATCAGATTTTCTACTCCATCAATGATTTTGTTCTAATCCAGCTAAATAAGAAAAGCACTGCTAGAATGCTGGAGGATTAAGTAATGCACATTTTCTATAAAGGGCAGGAGACAGACTTTCAAAATGTTTAGGAATTTGTCATCAGTAAAATTTTTAAGGATCCAGTGATCAGAGGTATTATCTGACGTCTCCTGCAAAGTAAAACCAAATGGTGTGTATCTTGCATCTCATTTAACTAAAAAAGCACACCACCTGGTAGGCCTCTTTGGGTTCTGGAGTCAGTATATCCCACATGGGGAAGTACTGCTTGATTTCATTTACCAGATGACATGAAAGGTTGCTAATGTGGAGTGATGTGAAAAGCAGGAAAGGGTTCTGCAGCATGTCAAAGCTGCAACGCAAGAAGCCCTGCATTCTGAATTATAAAACACAGCAGCCCCAATAATATTAGAGGTGTGGGTCATGAGAAAAACTGCTATATGGGACTTATACCAAGCCTCTTTGGGAGAGTAATAGAGCAGTTCTCTGGGGTTTTGGAGCAAGATTGTTCCATCTAAACTGGAGAACGATACCACTTTGACAAAACCACTCTGAGCACACTACTGACTCTTGTAGAGATGAAGAATCTGACTTTCAGACACCAAAAACCCATGTGTTCAGAACTATACAGTTATATCAGACCAACTAAGTTAAATGGTCAGGTAGATGGAAGTCATTCATTCACCTGGGTTCAAGCACAAGCAAAAAGATCCTTTGCATCTCCCTTAGCTCATACCTATGAAATTTCATGGGGTTTCACAATGACCAAGTTACACTTAGAAGAACAAGCTTATGTTTGCTTTATAGATGTGTTGGCTCAGTCACTAGTCATAAGTGGGGGGAAAAAGCAGTAGCTATACTGCAGCCTCACTTTGGAGGTTGCCTTGAAAGAAAGATACTGACCATCTGGTCATTTGTTTCTGTGGAAGGAAAAATAGCCAGAAGTAGATTATAGATATTCTCTTGAACAATGACAAAGGGCCTAGTTTGTTGGTGAGGTGCCTGGGTGTGGAAAGACCAGAAGATTAGAGGCAAGAGTTCTGGAATAGAAATATATGCTAAGACACATGGAAATGAACAATAATGTGAAGGTCTTTGTTTTAATCCACCAGTTAACACCCACCAATGAGCATCCATCATGGAAGAGATACAGAACAATCAAATAAGCATGATAATTTGGCTAGTTTCCATCAGCCAGCATCCATCATTATCCACCCCAATGCTGTAGGATGGACATATTTCTAGGCTTTCTCAATTTTTTTTTTAATTACTGTCTCTGAAATAGATTCTTTTCTGAGTTTAGTTTATCTTTTTCTTGAGTACCTTTACCTTCTGGTCAAATGTAGCCAATGGTAACCAAGATAGTTTCTGCTTCCCTACTTCTTTGCCTAAGACAAGTTTATTAAGGCTATGATTTCCCTTTCAATTGCTGAGAAGAGAGTTTGTTCAAGTGTTTTATCCTCCCATAGCATGCATTAGTCTTCTTTATCCAATGATAGTAATTTTATTACCACCTACTACCAGGCTTCAATGACAATGCCACATATTTTAGACACATTTTACCAGGGAACTCCACTTTTGAGTACCAATTCATGTGTTTAATGAAATGGAAAGAACCCTAAAACATCTAAGATATCCAATACAACTATTCTGCTACTCCACACTGCTTTCACTATGATACCCAAAGTGACAGGTGAACGTCTACTTAAAACATTGCGTATCCTCCATCAGAGAAGAGGATCTGACACTCAGTTCTGAAGGTTTCTGCCCATAAGTGACATGTTTCAAATTACAATGTCATGTCTAATGTTCATTGGATGAGGCAGTATACATTCCCACAGCAAGGGACAGCCAATTATTGTTAATAATAATATAATGTTACTGCAATAGATATAATTTTTTTCTGTTTTCTATTAGCTAAGACAATTGTTTCTTTCTACTTGCATTGACAAGATACACACAGAAAAAAGTATGACCAAGCTCATGATTTTTTGTTTATGCAATAAGAGTTTCATTAGTTTTTTATGGAAAAAATATTTAATTTAGATTAATAATAATAATTTAACAGATGTGTTTGCATTTTTAGGTGCTCAAGGTGCTCCGTTTGCCTGTTACAAAGAAATCAATTCTCTGCGTGATAAATTTGGAAACTGTGGTTTTAAAAATTCTCAACCATTGCCCTGTGAACAGAGGTATGTATATAGAAAATAATTGTTTTATTAAGTCATAAGAATTATATATTGCCTGTTAAGAGACATTAAAGACTAATGGTCAGTAAATTGTGTATCAGGAGAATATTTTAAAATAACATTGCACATATTGTTCTTTTATGTAATTCAGTTTTCTTTTTGCCTGTTTTTTTCTCTAATATGTTCTAATGATGAAACTAGACAAAAAAGGCTGATGCTTATTACCAGAGGTAAGAAGTGGGCACAAACCACCAAAAATCAGAAACTTGTGCACTAAACTGAGAATTAAAACTGAGGTTTTTTTATTAAGTTGATATATGATAATGATCCTAAAGCAAGTGCTTTGATTTTTGAGACATGAGATTATTGAAAGGAATAAAGTTTTTGTTGTTGTTGTTGTTGTTGTTGTTGTTGTTGTTGTTATTTGTTTCCAAAATACTGATATGTAACACATGGCAGTACCTATCAATAACTAAACTGGAAGTACTGGAATATTTTTAAGGGATTTATGAAATCCAATAAGGGAGAGCTTAATCCATTACAAATACTTCCTGAATTTCATGGGACTATTGAAAACCAAGGAATAAAAAATAACAGGTAAGAGGTTGACCAAGATGGTAACATAGAAGGCTTTGGAATTTTACTCCTACCATATACACACTGAATCTTCATGTACACATGAAGCAATTACTTCTAAAAGAAGTCCAAACAACACCAGAAGGACTCCTACACATTGAGCAACTGAGAAGATACTCACATTGAAACAGGTAGATACACACGCTCACCATAAAACACATAACTGGCACAGAACCACGCAACTGGAAAGGAAATCCCAACTACCAGTTTCTTCCTGAGGAACAAAGGATTTCGACCCCACATTTAGTGTCCCAACATTTTAAGACACTTCTCTGAAGGACAGGATCACAAAACATGTAGTTCTGAAAGCCAACAAAGCTTGTGTCCACAGACCCACAAGACTGTGACAAACAAAGGAATGATTGTTAACAGGAATTTAAGCACATGTCACACATATCCTCCAAGGCTCATGAGAAAGGAAGCAGGCAAAACTTCCCTATCCCAGCCCTTTCCCTGAAAGGGATCTGGCTGCATATTTAGAGAGCTGTCACCTAAGGCTTAGGCTTCTAAGGAGACAGCTGTGATCCTTCCCAGAGACTGAGGAAAGTGATGGACACCTCCTTTGCCAATTCCTTGTAGCCCACTCTAAGTCACTAATATCTCCCTGCAAGGAATGTGTACATAAGTCTGTTCCCCAACTTTTGCACTGCTGCCCAAGGGACAAGTCCCCAGATCATCTGGTTCTGATAGCCAAAAGAACTTCTATTCACAAGTCCCAGAAGACTGTTGCAAACAAAGAAGGAGCTCTTAGGAGGCTATACCACAGGGCTCAGCGCAGAGGGAGCAGAAAAAATTGCCTGTCTCAAAGTCTTTACCTGAAATGAATCCATTTGCATAATGTAAAAGATCTTGACTGAGGACCAGGTTTCTGTGAAGGGACTGGCTTTGATCCTGCTCAGGGACCAGAGAAGCTGGCAACTTTCTCTCCCAGTATCTCTTCCTGGCCAGCTCCAAGTCTCTAGTATCTCTGGAAGGAGCTTATAAAGGATGTCTTGCACCACAGATTTTGACCCTTTGCCCAAAGAACAGGTCCCCAAACTACCTAGTTCTGATAGCCAATAGGACTTCTGTTCACAAGTCTCACAGGACTGTACAAAGAAATAGTTCCTAACAGACACAGGAATATCCTCCCCTACCCAACCCTGCAGCTATAAAGCCAGGCCTAGCACAGAGGAAAGAGGCAAAAATGTCCATCTCCTGTTTTTCCCTATTCTTTCTGGCCTGCCAAGTTTCAAAAGAGAGATCAGTCACGAGTCTTATAGGTCTCCCTTTATATGTGAGGGCACGTTTACCCCTTGCTGCTTTCAGAATTTTCTCTTTATCCTTGTATTTTGCCAGTTTCACTATGATATGTCGTGCAGAAGATCGATTCAAGTTACGTCTGAAGGGAGTTCTCTGTGCCTCTTGGATTTCAATGCCTTTTTCCTTCCCCACTTCAGGGAAGTTCTCAGCTATGATTTCTTCAAGTACCCCTTCCGCACCTTTCCCTCTCTCTTCCTCCTCTGGGATACCAATTATGAGTAGATTATTTCTTTTTAGTGTATCACTTAGTTCTCTAATTTTCCCCTCATACTCCTGGATTTTTTTATCTCTCTTTTTCTCAGCTTCCTCTTTTTCCATAACTTTATCTTCTAGTTCACCTATTCTCTCCTCTGCCTCTTCAATCCGAGGCGTGGTGGTTTCCATTTTGTTATGCATTTCGTTTAAAGCGTTTTTCAGCTCCTCGTGACTGTTCCTTAGTCCCTTGATCTCTGTAGCAAGAGATTCTCTGCTGTCAGCTATACTGTTTTCAAGCCCAGCGATTAATTTTATGACTATTATTCTAAATTCACTTTCTGTTATATTATTTAAATCCTTTTTGATCAGCTCAGTAGCTGTTGTTATTTCCTGGAGATTCTTCTGAGGGGAATTCTTCCGCTTGGTCATTTTGGATAGTCCCTGGCGTGGTGAGGACCTGCAGGGCACTTCCCCTGTGCTGTGGTGTATAACTGGAGTTGGTGTGCGGAGCCGCAGTCAGACCTGATGTCTGCCCCCAGCCCACCTCTGTGTCCACAGTCAGACTGGTGTGTGCCTTCTCTTCCCCTCTCCTAGGGGTGGGATTCACTGTGGGGTGGGGTGGCCTGTCTGGGCTACTTGCACACTGCCAGGCTTGTGATGCTGGGGATCTGGCGTCTTAGCTGGGGTGGGTAGGCAAGGTGCACAGGGGCAGGAGGGTCAGGCTTAGCTTGCTTCTCCTTAGGTGATCCACTTCAGGAGGGGCCCTGTGGCAGCAGGAGGGAGTCAGATCCGCTGCCGGAGGTTTGGCTCCGCAGAAGCGCAGAGTTGGGTGTTTGCGCGGAGCGAGCAAGTTCCCTGGCAGGAACTGGTTCTCTTTGGGATTTTGGCTGGGGGATGGGCGGGGAAGATGGCGCTGGCGAGCGCCTTTGTTCCCCACCAAACTGAGCTCTGTCGTCCGGGGTTCAGCAGCTTTCCTTCCCTTTGTCCTCCAGCCTTCCTGCTTTCTGAGCAGAGCTAACTTATGACCTCCCAGCCGCTAAGTCGCGCTTGCTGTCGGAACACAGTCAGTCAGGCCCCTCCGCTTTTTGCAAGCCAGACTCGGGGGCTCTGCTTGGCCGGCGAGCCGCCCCTCCGCCCCGGCTCCCTCCCGCCAGTCCCTGGAGCGCGCACCGCCTTGCCGCCCTTCCTACCCTCTTCCGTGGGCCTCTCGTCTGCGCTTGGCTCCGGCGACTCCTGTTTTTCCCTAGAGGGTCTTAACTACCTACTTTTCCAGTTACTGTCTTAAGATGCTGTTTTCCAGTCTAGGAGCCCCTAGATGTATGCAATCCTCCCTTTTATGATACTGATGGGTCTTAGCACATCTTAACTACTGGGAGCCACTAAGAAAAATAAGGTGTCTCTGGGAATCAAAAAAGATTGAAAGGCAAACTGGAGCTAAGGCCAGGCTAAGCTCATTGATGACATTTATCTCCTGAATGAGACCATTCTGTTAAGATGGAGAGAGGTGACAATTTTATCTAATGTATAGAAATGAACACAGAATTCAAGAAAACATAAACATATGAGTATTTTCTCAGAACAAAATAAAAATCTCCAGAAACTGATCTTAATGAAATGGAGATAACTGATTCACTTGATAGATAAAAATAACAGTAATAAAGATGTGCACTGTGGTTGGAAGAGCAATGCATGAACAAAGTGAGGGGCTTAACCAAGAGATGGAAATTATAAGAAAGTACCAAAGAAATCACAAAACTGAAGAATACAATGACTGAATTGAAAAAGAGAAAGAGAAAGAAAATAAAAGAAATGAAAAAAAGTCAAGATTATTTAAGGAACTTTGGGGCACTATTAAAAAGAGCATTATACACTTTATAGGAGTATCAGAATGAGAAAAGAGTGAGAAAAGGGCAGAAAGCTTATTGAAAATAATAATGAGTGAAAATTTCCCTAACCTGGGGAAAACAAATATTCAGATACAGGAAGCCCAGGGAGAAGCTAAAAGATGAACCTAAAATCCCCACAGCAAAATTACGTTTTTGTATTAATATATTTAAATGTATTAAAATTTATAAAATGTATTTAAAAATACATTAAAATTTAAATTGTCAAAGGTTAAAAACAAGGCTAGAATCCTAAAAGCAGAAAGAGAAAAGTAACTTGATATGTACAAGAGAACACCATAAAACTATATGTAGATTTTTGAGCAGAAATCTGCAGGCCAGAAGAGAGTGAGATAATAGAGAGTTTCCCAGACAAGTAAAAACTGAAGTTCATCACAAGACCAGCCTTACAAGAAATGCTAAAGGTGGTTCTTTAAGCCAAAATTAAAGGACACTAATTAGAAAAAGAAAAACATATGAAAGAATAAAATCTATAGGAAATAGCAAATAAATAGTTAAATTCAGAGCACTCTAATGTGGTGATCATAGTGGGTAAATCACTCATAACTCTAGTGTAAAGATTAAAAGACAAAGGGTTGAAATGACTATAACTACCATAATTTGTTAATTTATAAACAATGCAAAAATTTGCACACTATAACATCAAAAATATAAATGCACAGGAGGGGTGTAAAAATGTAGAGCTTTTGTATGTGTTCAGAGTTTTCATTAGCTTAAAATTGTTACAAATATAAGCTGTTTATGTAAACCTCATGGTAAACACAAAGCAAAAACTTAAAGTCAATGTACAAAAGACAAAAAGAATATTCTTTTTATTTCATACATGAAGAAACTCTTCTCCATAGAAGACATAAACATGATTAAAAGACAGAAGAAAAAATGCTCAACATTATTCATCATCAGAAAAATATGCATCAAAACTATAATGAGATACTACCTCACACCCATCAGAATGGCTAAAATTAA